TCTGTGGGCTGATGGAGTTAAAAATCCTTCTACAGCTAAACGGAGTCCTTGAACATACCCTCAACAGCAGCAACCAGGAGCCAGCAGGTATTAGCCTGCAGCTTGTCACAGAGCATGAAACCCACTATTATTCTTAAAAGAATAGCAAACCTATTCTTTTCAGTACTTAAAAAAAGAAAACAAATATAAAAGACTTTCCTTTTTTATCAAAGCAAGCCCGCATTTTTATTTAGTTATGTATTTTGTGCAGAGGAAAAGGGCAACATACATTCTGCCAGCACATGCTGAAGATTTTGTCAGGTTTTAAAAAAAGTAACAAAACCACCTGTCAGTTTTTATGATTTTTAGTTCAAATTGAGGAGGGTACCAACAAAATTTAGGTCAGTTTTCCTGAGTAAAAGGAAAATCTGTTGCCTACTCTGACCTACTTGCAAAACGATCAGGATCTGGCGTGTGAAAAGGAAAAGAAAAGAACAGAAAACCAAGCCCTTGGTAAATTTTCAGTATGTGAAGTGGGCTCCCATGTTCTTCCTCATCCTTTTGTAACGAGAAGAAAGTGGGAGAAGATGCAGGTTGTTGCAGTGATCCTCTCTTGAGAGCCGAACGGAAACGTGCAGGTGTTTGCTGCCTCCTTGGACTCTGCCTGCTAGTCAAGCCTTTCTGGAAGATGTGCTGATAATTACCACGCTACAGGAAGCCACCCTCTAATCTTTACCTATGTGCCATTTGGAAGGGTAGCAAGAAGCTTAAGATAGCTCTCTGTGGTGCCAGAAACATCGCCTGAGCCGCTTGAAAGCTGACAGGCGAAAGCATGCCAGGAGGCAGTGCAGAGAGCGCGTCTGCAGGGGTTAAGGCAGACACCTGCCTGAGAGTTTCGGTGGCCTCCTCTCCGTGATTTTTAGAATAGGCTTTGCATTTGTAATTTTGTCGTTCAGTCTGATTAAGGGGTGAAAAGAGCTGCGCTGTAAGTTTTCTGTTAAACTACCTGCCTGAAAGACCGGTAGCCCTTGCTGCGTGCTGCATCTCTAAGTTTTGTCCTGGAAAGTATCTGGGTTCAAATATTGAGGGTATGGAGAGGGAGGGCAAGAGTTTGCTCTTCTGGGAGGCCTGGTGGCAGCTGGGCAGATGGAGCTTCCTGGGAGAGGTGGATGAGCATCCCCTAGGAAAAGAGCCGCTGTGCCACAGCCAGAGGTGTGTGTCTCTTAATACGCTTCCCTTTGCTGGAGCAAAAAACCAAAACCAAAACAAAAAAAGCTGTTTCTCATAGCCATGGGGCCATGGGTCAGTAGAAGGAAACGTATTTTATGCAAATACAATCGTATCCCGAAGATTTAAAAAAAAAAAAAAAAAAGACTTGAAAATCAGATTTGTGGCTTCCCTCAAACCTGTTTTATGATTTGTATGTGCAAGTGCTCCCCTCCCCAGGGTGGTGAGTGAAATCTTTTTGTATTTTAGTCAGCCAGGTTGAACACAGGAGAGCACCCTTTCCTGATTTCTCAAGCTGACTAGGGAGGACTTCTAAATTCCTTTAGTGATGGGGAGGGGGTGAAACAACCAGCTTCCGAGGAGAACACGTGCGTGAGCCTTGCAGTCACCGAAGCAAGTAACATTATTCCCCTTGAAAACACCTCTCGCTCAAGCATCTGCAAGTATTTTACAATTATTAGCAAATTACAGTTTCTTTGTGAGGAAAGAAATTCTTCTCTTCCCTATTTTCTAGATGGAGAAACCCAAGGCATAAAGAGATTTAATATACATCCAAGTAAGGACTTCAGGAGCCGTAATTCCCTGTTCCCAGTTGTAACCATACCTCATTCCACAACACTTATTAAAAATTGCAGATTCAGAGCTGTGCATCTATTTGAGATTTTATTCCACCAGCCACAGGCCCTTTTGAAGCAATCTGCTCCTTACTTGCTTTCAGTACAGTAATTATAGTTCAGCATGCTGCTGTACCTGAGGTTGCAGCTGCATTTCCACTATACAAACTCTTGTTTATTCGCATAATGGCTAATGTATTATCTATAGGAGTCCCTCTTTCTGGGATGAGAGTTAGTACAAAGGCTATTTGTTCAGGAGAGCTGACTTTTTTACATCTTTGTTTATTTCTATGTTACAAAGTATCTGCTTTTTAGGGAAAAAATGAATTTTATATATGTGTGTGTGTGTGTCAAAAATCAAAATGAGAAACAAAGTCAAGTATGGTTTATTCCACAGCTGTGGCTGGCAGTGACCTTCTGCTGCTTTTTTTGCTCAGAGAAATAACTGGACCAAGGCACTGGGTAAGTAGACTTCTTTTACTGTGTTTAAATTCATTTATAACCGTCTGTATTGTGTTAGCACAATTCCTCCCAACCTGGGAAAAACTCCTCGGGAAGAGGGGATGAACAGACAGGCTGCATGGGGCTTGGGGCAGGGGGAAGGGAAAGGAAAGAAGAGAAGAAGCCAGTATATTACTTCTGTTTCCAATAATACAGCATGATCTTGGCCGTGGAAAGGAGGAGGCAGGCGAATGGTGACACTCGCTTCTGGACAGGCAGAATGGACAAAGTTGCTTAGAAAAATTATGCGCTTAGCTCCTCAAGCACAAGAAAGGCCAGGAACAGTATATGTATATGCTACGAAATAGCCCCAGGTCAGGGAGCTTACAGTCCAAAACAGCCACGGGCAAAACAGTGTTCACTGTTCACGTGTTAGAGATGAGGAGTGAGATACCAGCAGCTTCAGCGACTATAACCACCTTGCATCTCCTGAGTCACAGCCTAGTATCTTAACTACAGCTCTGTCCTACCTCTGAACACCCTTGCAGCTCTGGTTGTGTGTCTCTAATAGGGCTCATACTTATCTCTTTTAGGTGATGTGAAGCAGGATTAAATTACCCCAGTTTCCGTGCGTCTACATGATACAGCAATTTGCAAGGTAAGTGCATCCAAATGGTTAACAGTAAGCCCTTGTTCTGGCTATGTTCCTATCAGCTGTTCACGGTGTAGTAGGAACGGACGCAGTTTCATCAAAGTTCCTACTGGACTTAATCTACTGCTATCTATAGTAAATTGCAGGATTGGCCTTTTTTCTACAATTCATAACCTCCTTTCGGTTACTTCATCGTGCTGATTTGTTCATACTTTAAACGTACAATAGGGGAGGAAGCCTAAACCAGGGAAAGATACCTAGAGGTCTCAGATAACAACCTTTAAAGTGATTTACATAGATGAAATAATTTGACACTAGTGCAGAGATCAAAACACTAAAGCTGGCTATAGGCAAAAAACCGACCAAGCCACTTTCATTGTTCTAGCTGAAAAGTCTGCAAAAATCTAAAAAAAATGAGCAGAATAAAATTAGAATAAAATTAGAGTCCTGCTTCAAACCTCAATTATATTAGTTTTTATCCTAGATCTATCCTGGGGACCACTCCTGTTATGATGTCTTATTACTAAGACAGGAAAGGGACGTAAAGGATCTTTAAAAAAAGATCCTTAAGTGGCTTGTATTCTTATAGTGTAATTAAAAACATACAAGGTGAAAATAATTCCCACCATGCTTAGAAGTTTGCATAACATGACTAATAATTCTTTGCATGTTTTATTTTGAAAACAAAACAGTCCAAAAAGATTTTTAATATTAACACTGTATTCCATGCAGATAATCCATAGTAAATACTTTGCATTAAAAGACAGTTTTAAAGTGCCTTTAGTCCTCCAAAATAGTCCAACTGCGCTGTAAATTCAAGTATGTGGAAAGTAGGCCTTTAGTTATTAAGAGAAAGTATTTCTGCGCCAGGTCCTGCTCCCACTGATGTCAGAAAAGCGGGGCGAGGGGCTTAACCACCAACTTTAGTAGGAGCAGAACCAAGCCTTTGTTTGTCTCTGATAAACCCTGTGGTATGTTTTCACAACTGCTGAACACAGACAAACGGCCAACTAACAGATCAATGATGTCATTTTCTGCCTGATGACAGGCAGTTCCCTTTCACCCGAACAACATGGTCAGCGGTTGCCACAAACTGCAAGGGCACTGTGCTTGCAAAGGCAAATGAGGAGTGTTAACAGTTGTTTGTACTTTGCACCCCCTTTTAACCAGCTGAGCAATGGACTGAGCACAGCGAACAGCCCCAGCCCATTTGATAGCTATAAAATATACAGGTCAATCTACACGTGTACGTTATGCAGTTTTCTTTGAAGGAAGCCCAGATGATCAGTTCATCTGAATCTAGAGTAAAACGTCACAAAATATGGCTACAGAAGCCATGTGATTAAAAGCATAATAAAAACCCTTTTATGTCATAGCTGTGTTCGTGCTTTGGCTCTCAAGACTAGCAAGATTAACCAGCATCTTGAAGTCAACGGAGTTGCACGGATGGGACAGGAGTACTGATCCTGATGCATTTGAATTGGTGCAGCCAGCATTATACCTGAGCCCAGACTCATCTCTCCCGCTCACTTCAGTTTTAGAGCAGTACTTGGTGGTGGTAAAGATATTTTTCTTCTTTCTTCTAGGCATAAGCAACATTACAACTGTGAGGTCTGGAATTTAGTAGACACTTCTTCCACAACAAAGTCACATGCAAAGAGAATTCAGGAAAGATTGTTCCCTGCTGACTCGCTAGCTCCCCAGACATGAACTTCAAGTGTCCGGAGCTAGACCTCATGATGAAAGGTAGGACAGATTTTTTTTCCCCCACCCCTCTCCTTGAGACACAGCACATAAGTGCCTTGCTTCTCCAGGCTAGGCAGAGGGAGCTCCTGAGCAGGACACTCATCGGTTATGCTGGCTGGACTGTGGGATCAAAACCTTCAGCTCAGGGCACACATACAACTCCGGGCAGTAACTACTTAATCTACTCTGCCACGGTTTTTTAGAGATTAGGAATTGGAGTTGTTAACGTTGTACTCTGCCTGATGATATCCCACATCCTATCCTTCAGTAGAAGGTGGACAAAACATCTATTAGATACCTACAGAATAACCTGTCTGTTCTTTATATATATATATAACGTGGCATCTGCCCTGAAATACAGGTGCTTTATATACTTCAGTCGTTTCTGTGCTATGGCGTTTGGATGTTGTTATTTTCCACCTAAATGTCTAATCCTTTTTTTTGAATCTAAGATTCTAGATGCAGTAATGCAGCAGTGATTTATACAGCTCAATTGCACGCTGTTTTCTTTTAAATTCGCAGCATTTCACAATTGTTCGATATTGCCTGGTATTTCTGGGGGTAGGAGGGGAAGAGGAACACCCAAAAAATCTGGGTATGAATGTTAAGAAAAATAGTAAAAAAAAGGCCATTATTTGAAAAGAAGTAAGTCCAGAGAAATTTTCCTATCAGCTTATAACCCTTTCAAAGCAGATCAGATCTGGAGCAAGAACTAGATGACGGTATGCTTTTGAATTCATTCTACTTGAGGGAAACAGGGAGAAAACAATCTTGCAGCTAAAAGCTTTACTTAGGAATAGAGTTTATCTTCAAAATATCTCTAAAGAGAGACTGTGTGGGCCATAACAGCTTGGCACAACTCAGTGACTTACCCTGTTTGAGTGTTTTGGTGTCTTTAGGCCATAATAAGATGCAGCAAAAGTCTCCCTGGTGACTATGTATGAGCAAGTATAATCTGGGGTCTAAATGCCACAGAGCATCCATATTTATCTTCAATGGCTCTATAAATTCAGCAGATGAGAAGGAAAACATTAATTAGACAGACCCTGCCTTTGGCAGTAATCACCCTCAGTGACAGCTGAACCAGCCAGTGGATAAAATATGTACCAAACATGGTATCAGAATAAATAACTGAGGATCAAGAAGGAAAAAAAATAAGAAAAAAGAAAAAAAAATAACATATAACCCACACCATTTTTTGGTGGGGGAAAGAAAACTTTACCTTACTTTGGACTTTGGACACTGTCTTTTTTCAAACAAGCTTTCCTCAGTTTAGGGCCCAATTCTGCACCAGCCAGAACTCTATTTTTCTGTAGAAATAGGATAGAGTATTTCTGAAGATTAGTCTTTAATGCTGATTGCACAGAAGGAACAGAAAACCCTGAGAGGTCTAGCATTGAAGTTCTTAATGAGGGTCAGATTCTGGAATCATGATATCGGTACAAATCCAGACCAGGAGTCTACCACAGGTGTAATCAAAATCAATAAATAAACTGCCACTGACTTTAGCGGGTTTTAAACACTATGATGTTAACAAAATGATTTTTAGATTTTCAATTGTACCATGGCATGGCATACCATGTATGCCTTGGTTCTTTCTTTATATGAAATTACCATGAAAAGTGAGCTGGGATTTACATCAAGATTTAGCCCTTGGGAGAACGCTGCTTTTGATAATGCTCTATGCCCATCCTCTTGCTTTGAAACTTATCCTGTTCCTGCTGGATTAGTGGCAGTGCCAAAGATGCATGGTTTGAGGGAATCTAAGATTTTTTTCACCCTCTGACTCCTTTAGGGTAAGGGTCATAGTCAGTAATTTAGCAAACTAATTAGATGCCAGAAAGCGCATCAGAGCCATTTGTTAACAAACAACATGGAGGTGAATTTTCTGCAGGGCTTTGCTCTTAAAAATAGATCAGATTTCTCTTTCTTCCTGAGCAGGGGGTAGAAGCTGTTTCCTTGAAAGGAGAGGATTTGAAGACATGGTGTGGGAAGAACAACTGCAGGATGAAGACAAGGGCCTAAGTCTCCTCAGCCATGAAGAAGAAACTAAATGTTGCCTGCCCCAAAAGAAGGCAAAGGGGATAGCAGAGAAAGGGACAGAGCTGGGGAGCAGGAGGATGGGACAGGTGAGATGAGCCCTGGAGAACCAGCCTTACTACTCCTGTGGCCACCAACAGCATCTGTCCCCCAACCACCTGGCCTCTCCGTGGAGAGAGACAGAGGCAACCAGCCTGATCCTGAGTGCAAGCATAGGCAGAGTGTGCAGCAAACACGGTCTATTTTGCTGTTCCAAAGAGCCTGCTGCCTTAGGCAACAATGTACTCAGGCAAAGTACCTAGATTTGGCCCACCTGTGAACTGCCCATGTTAAGACTTTTGGAGAAGGATGGAAGGGGACAACCACACATAGGAGAGAAGAAAAAATAAACATCCCCCAACACACACGCACCAAAACCAAACCAGAACTTTGACTGCCCTGTTTTCTCCTGACACATCCAGGGCTTTGGTGCCAGACTGCAGGCAGAATCTGGTGTCACAGCTCACTGCCTTTGCTTCTGGCTCTGCTGTCCCATGAGGAATCCAGGCAAGTCGCACCTTCACGTTGGCCTGACTCATTCTTTTCAATGCTCCAGTGGGCCTTTTTCCTCTAGTTGCTGTTTCTTTTCTAGGAGGGGAAAGACTTTGCAATAGAATAACAGAAGATTCCAACACTTGGGACATGGGACATTAAAGACGCAGGGGAGGAAGCACTCAGCATTGTTCCGCTTCAACAAAGCCCTCCTTCTCATGGCTGGCTGGCTCCACCTCGGAGTATGTTGCATGGTTGGTGTGATTTCGGAATTTCATGGCAGGCCAGCGATGTGGCCTTCGCTGTGGACAGAAACAAAGATCCATCAGAAGCTATGACAGAGCCTTTCACTCTGTGCCAGCTGGGAAATTTGAAACTCAGTCCTGAAACAAAAACAATATTGTCTTTGTGACAGCTCAACTTTTTAATTAATAAAATCACTTCATGCTTAAGGAGCATTACAATGCATCAATCTCACTGAACTGACCCACTAATAAGGTTAAAAGAAGGAGCAGAGAGGAAATGGAAACTTTAAGTGAAATCTCACATCCATCTCAGAACAAGGATGGCCCGTGCCTGGGTTAATAGCCAACGACTGCCACAGGCTTCCTGTGTGACCACATACGTATCATCTCTCTGTGTCTCTCCTCTCTGTCACCAAAACATGGACTTTCTCAGTTTGGTGCTGTGAAGACAGAGGCATTAAACACTGTGAATTGTTCAGGTACTAAACTGATGGGGCCAGATAGATCACTTCTCTGAAGCCTGGCTCTCCAAATAGACAGATGGAGGAAAGACAAATGCTGTAGGAAGAAGCCAGAGAGTGACAAGGAAAGGCTGAGGGCTACATGTTGCTCACTCCCTCCACAGCAGTTCCTATGCCAGGATTCAGCCCACTTCTAACTGCCTCAGGAGCCTATATCAAGCAGTCTTTCGGCTTTTAACAGCAGATGGAGATTGTCAGACCCCCTATCTTTCTGAGAATTAAAATCTTGCATTTAGAGCATTCACACCACCACTTACAAATTAGCTGATGGCATAACATCTATCAGTGAAGTCTGACAATTTTAGTCAACAAAATCCAGCTGGGCAATTCAAAAGGCAGCAATTTCAATTATGTCATAGCTCCAACTGAGTCCCCCAGCCAGGCTGTGTGGATGCTTGCTCATACAAGCATGTGGAAGAGTCTACCATTGTATGGGGGGAAAAGCCGATATGTGAAAGGGAGCATATGAAAGAATACAAAGCAAAACGTGGGTGTAGGAGGAAGAGAGACTAGATTTAAAACATCACCAACAACTGCAAGTTGGAGATTAGCTGTGACTGTAGGACCATGAAAAGAAACTTAGATATGAAACCTCTCAAAGTTTCCCTCTTTTCTTGCTTCCCCAGAGGCCAAGGCAAAACAAGGTGGCTGGCTTGATTGAAATATATATGCATCAAACTTGCCGAGAGGATTCAGACTGCAAGAAAATGTAAGTTTAAATGCACGATTGGTTCCCAGGTGGTTGCTAAGGCCCAGCCTCCCTGCCCTCCTCCAGAAGGTGAGGATTTTTCTGAAGGCAACTCCACCTGGAGGTAATCTGGCTCTTTTTTATTCATTCCTCAGGCCCTCTAAGTGCATGACTCAATGTATTCATGGCTCAACATACTCCAGCCACACAAATCAATACGCATGCTGAGACAAGGCACTCCACTAGCTGAAGACCTAGGAACAACCGCCAAGGCTCTGCAGAGGGCATGTTAATATCAATTAGAAAGAAAAAGGTTGGGGATAGGGTAGAAGACAATCTCCCTCATTTCTGGTGATGACAGCTTTGTGTTGATGGGAGCAAAGGAAGAGAAAACTGGCCTGTGATAAGGTTCTCCACTCACCTCAATGAAGAACAGGGCGGCATTTGAGGTGGGATGGCTGTTGATGTAAATTCCAGCAAGGATAATAGCTGCAATGAGCAACACAGCTAGAACTATCCCCACGATAGTACCTGTGTGAATCGGGGTTCCTGCTTTCTTTGAAGGAAGGCTGCTTCCTACACCTGCAAAAAGAGACTTCTGTTAAGGCTGTAATCACTGAGATCTCAGTAAAAGAAAGGACAGAAAGGAGAAGCGAGGCTTTTTTCTTCGGAGCTTTGCATGAAAGACTGAGCAACTCAACCCACTATTGGCCAGCTCAAAAGGAGGATAAATGAGCTAGACACACCAGTGAGCTCACATGGTAAGAGTCCAAATCTTTGGGACTGAAAGATCTGCTAGACCAAGCTTTGAATATCGTATGTGCGTGATTTACCTGGAGCAGATAAAGAAATCTTTCACAACAGTCCTGATGCTCAGCATTCTGCGCTTCCCCCTCCCCATCCCCAAACAGAGGTTGCCTTTCTTTTTTTCTACCTAAAAATAATTCATGCGAAGTAAGTTCTCATCCTGAATTTATTGTTTGAGCTCCGGCATCTGATGATATCAATAGTTGTTTAATCTTTTTTCAAACCAGCTACTATCCAGTAACTGCCCCCCTCCCAATCTATATTCTTTAGCTATTGGATGCTCACTCTGATAGAAAGCCATTAGCCATATGCTGAGTGTGTCCTTAGCATGTCTTACCCACAGTCCTCCAGCTTGCCTTCATTCCTTGGCTATGAATATTCAATCACACCGAGCTACAGAGGGCGTATATAGCATATATTAACAGTGACGTTACCAGCCATTTGGGGAGTAATTTGGCTGAAACTGGGAAGGTCATGGATTTCAAAGGCCCCATGCCTGCAAAGGAACTGATCCTATACCCAGTTTATCCAGCTTAACTTCTGTGAGCTGCTTTCAGTTAAAAGGGATGGGCTTGTGGTTTGCATATGACCGCAGTTCTTGGGAACCTGACATCAGTGGAAGAAGTGCTCGGATCCGTCTCATATTCTGGAATTAGGAAGAGCACTATGGTAACAGTTCAATTCTCTGTCCTTGGGGCTGATGGACACACTCGGACTGAGAGGGGATTTGCTGGAACAGAGATGGAAAGGGCACTTTTTATATTTGAATTTTACAATGCTCTTGGGCACAGCTGGGGAAATGCAAAAGCAACAGGACTTTGTGATTATGCAAAAACTGTAAAGAAAGAGAATTATATAGGAAAGATAAAACGCATCATATTAGTTCACTTGTCAAATCTGAGAAAGTGGCAAAAGTAGAAAAACAGCATTGGGCTAAAACAGCTTGGTCCCAACTCTCTCACTTTTCACAACCTGAAATGGTATTAATCAGGGTAAGGACAAAAGGATTCTTATCTTGATTACATCCTTTCAGTCTCTGTTTCTCCCGTCCACGCTGCTGACTGATCACAACTATCCGGTGCATTTGATTTCAGTGTAACATGTTCTCACTTAGGAAGAACGTGAGCAGGCAAAGAGAAGATTAAGGACTTACTTACCATCGCCTCCTGCATACTGATTGAGCTTTGTATCATCTGAAAAAAAGAAAATAGGCAAAAAATAGTTAGGAGACTTCTATGATATTCTCCATTCTTCTCACTCTCTTTCATTTGTGCATAACAGGAGGCCTCTGACAGACCATACCTCTTTGCACAGCACTTGCATGATCAGTGACAATTTCACCTCTCAGATTAGTGGAGGAGAAAAGCACCCAGAAAACAAAACAATAGCAAAAAGCAATAGTTTCTGGCTTTTTGTCTCCCTTCACAAAAGTAGCACCTGGAGCACAAACGTCTGTGGAAACCAGTCTTTAAATAATGCCCAGTGTGCAATGCACTATAACAAATGAATGTTAGGTGGGGCCCCAGCCTCGTGGGTGTTTGTGTTCAGACTACAGCGTTCGCTGAAATATGCTGCTAATATAGCCCAAATAAATCAAGGGGAATCCACAGATGCCTTCCTTGGCCAGGGTGTGTGTGGGGGGGGAGGGCAAAGTCCATTTCCATTCTTCATCTCATTCTGAAAGTACCAGGGTGCGTTATACAAGGCTTTATGCTGTCTTGATGTTCACCACAACAGAGCCCTTGAAAATCCAGCTGAACTCCTGATCCAGGATTTTCACTGTTTGGCTAAGACTTTTCCTTGTTGCAGCGCTGACACACGACCAGCCAGTCAGACACATTCCCAAATATCTCCATTGAGCAGCTCCAGCGAGCTGGGCTGGTTTGGGAGGAGGCAGAGGGGTGGGTCCAGTCCTTTGCTTTGCTTGTTCCTGAGCTGTGCTTCTCCAGATAAAGTTCGCTGCCTGATGCAGCTGGCTGTTTTGTTTCCTTCCAAGATTACAAATTAACTTCATGCTTGAATATGTCACAAAAAGCCTCTTGTTCTTCTTCCAAGAATTGTCGATGAGTTGGAAAATAATCTCAGTGGTGGTGTTATACTCCCCCTTCCTTTAATTGCTCCTTTCAAAGTCAACTCTGTCAGCCAGGCGCTCCAATCCTCCCCCCAGCCCAACTCCTTCCCATTGCTGAAGGACAATTACTAATGTTCCTTTCTATTTATTCTAATTAGCAGTTTGCGTTAGGGACTATTAAGCAGCAAAATTGAAGTGATACCTGCCGCTAGGATCTGAGGAGACAGCCCTGTGTTAATAGGATTATCAAGCTTTAGAACATGGGTATCTCAAGGGAGACCCGGGTCTGTATTTGGAGCTTTCTTATGCTGGAATGAACACCATTCCCAAGCAGAGGACAATCACATGTCTGTGCTGTATTACTGCCAGTCTGACGGTACCGGCAGCCCTGAGTCACAAGCAAGGAGGTTAAAAACATGAGCCCCTAGTTACAGTATGACCTTCTCTTACGGCATTAGGGCGTCTGTGCACTGGGGAATAACCGTTTTGGTTTGTTGTCTCCTTAGACCTTCATAAACGCATAAAAAGGCTTCAGTACAACTGTAAAATCCTTCCCACTTGAGGGTTTGCCCTGCCTCACTTGCCATATCATGCTGAGTTTCACTTCTTACTCTATCCTTCCTTCCCCTTTCCACTGTCTTCTGTACCCACCCCTGCCCTTGTGCTTCAAAGACTAGGTAGCCAGGAACGTTCCTGTATTTACTTGGATATTAATTGGCTTCATTAGGCATCAGAGTGAAAGACCTCTCCAAGGGTAAGTGTTGAGGAGGGGGTGTCCCTGCCACAGCTGCTCACCCCATCTGCCTGTACCTTCTGTAGTGAGGCTGTCGATGAAAAGCGAGGAAGTGGATGTGGTGACATCCTCCTCAAACGGTGAGAAAGAGCTATCAGGCGGTGCCGAGTAGTGGTCATCTTCTGCTAAATCCTCGCACGTCTTCTCATCTGACTGAAACGAAAAATGAAAAATGGCTGTTGTTCCTAGCAGTCCTCCAAGAAGAGTGCCCGAGAGCTAGAGGTTAGACCCATGACTCCCAAGCGTAGGGCTGCTGAGCCCTTGGGGTTCCAACCCTAGAAAGGGGAAGCCGGGAACACGCTCCAGTTGTGCCAGGAGAAGCGGCAGAGGTGATGTGGCAGCGGGAAAATAGGTGGAAAACTCTGGGAACCACCGAGTTAGGGTAAATGACAGTGATCTGGCAAGGTTTTACATTCTGACTTTCTTGTATGACCTTAGCATAAATCCCGTGACTTCCTTTTCCCCTCCCTCAACTCTCTTGGTAAACATGGAACAAAGCTGAGTCTTCAATGGGGGGAAAAAAACCACAAAAAACAAAGCAGAAACAGATGTTTCATTAAATCTGATCTTTCTGAGACAAAGAAACTAGTTCAACCAATGTAGAGACAGTTGCACTAACAAGGACAAAAATCATAAGGGCTAATTTCTCCATGCTTCAGAGAAAATAATGGTCATGATTCAGAAGGTAAAGGAAAAAAAATATCCCAGCAGATTCAGATTGCACCATTAGTTAAGTTACAGAGGTCTCTGCACCTTTACTGAACATCCACCAGCACAGACGCAAGACCAGCAGGGCGACGACATGTAACACCAGATGAGGTGGACAATGTTCTGTCTATGCCAATATAGTAGGGGGGAGATACCCTCTACGAAGTTTATCTGTGGTCCTGCTACAATGGGAAAGGGATATCTGAAGGGATACTCGATCTATCTGTTGCAGAATAGCACAGGCCAAGTAGAGCTGGGAGTGAATTTTTTGACCTGGAATACAGCCACTCATTTTTCTTTAGTTCAGGTCCTCTGTACAGGACATCCAAAATGGCTTACCATCCTCCAAGCAGTCAAAACAAATTGGACAATAGACTGTTTGGATGACATTTTTAACCTGTAGCTAAATGTCTCATTGTAAGAGTTATAGCGAAAGAGTACATCATAAGTACCATTACTGGTGAGCAAAATCCATGTTACATTGTTATCCTGTTAGCCGAAGGGAGGCTTTGCTCGATCTTACCTTCTGGCCACAGCCGTAAGACAGCCACTCCTCACGGTATCGGTCAAACCCACTGGAACATCTACAGAGACAGATTATATCAATCTGTGGCAGAGGAATTCCTGCTAGACACAGCAAGCAAAGCAATCAGGGAGCGAACAATAACGCTCGTTTGACCACCCTACATGGGTGCTAACAATGATTCCTAAACCGCCTACGAATCCCAAGTGCTACCCCAGTGGGCACAGTGTATAGATACTTAGGCAGACAAATATCAGAGGATTGGAACGATTATACACAAGTTGGCCTCCAAAGACAGGGGGTTTCCAATACAGCTGTGCTGGAAGGACCCAAATGTTCCTCTCTACAGAGGAGGAAAAGGGTCAACACTGCTTCTCCAAGGGAAACAGAGACAGAGAAATAGGAAAAATATATAGACTGAGTTTGAATTTCCATTCTCTGGACTCTGTGCCAGGGCAAGGCCATGATCTCTGCAAGTTTTTTCCAGCAACATCTGCACAGGAAAAGCAACATTAAAAAAAATTACAAACTGCATAAAGAAAACACCAACTAGCGAAATTTCTACAGAAACAGAGGGAATGAAACAGAACTCTGACCTTTGGAAAGTCTCTGGGGACTACCAAAAGATGAATCAGGGGGTCAGCTTGTACAAGCAGTAATTTGCCCAACTACCAGCCAATAAAAGAGGTGAAGCCACAAGAACTTCAGGTCCTGCTGAGTCATTAAGCTCTTTTGCGTTGAAGTAGAATTCCTGTAACAATTAGGGGCTCAGCAGAAGCAACAATGCAAACTATACTGCTAAAAGAAAGCTAAAAGGAAACTCTGGGGTTAAATCACTGAGCTGGACTCAGGATACGAGTTCAAACCCTTCCAGCATCCTTGGGAAAATCATGCTGGCTTTGCAAAACCAGCGTAGTTGAAAGCCAGCAAGACAGCAGTAGACTTGCTCAGCTGCTCCTGATAACTCTGGCCTGTAGTTTCCCCAATGTGTAAAACGCTTGCTGTTTGTAATTTGCATTTGTTGTCCACGTTCTCCAGGAGTGAGCTGCCTATATGCAGTTATGGCTGCAGGAAGCATGTATTTCAGCCAAAACATCAAGGAGGAACCACAGTATAAGCGATAAACACAAATATAAGCAGCTGTGACCTCAGATCGGGAAGACTGGGCTTGCCTAGGCTATGAATTTGAAATAAGCAGAATCAGGATGTTCTTGAACACCTGGGTTTCAGACCAAACAAGATGCAGACCAATACACTGTATCCTGGGCTTGGTTTTTCTATCAAAGCCACATCTGGTTTCACACATCTCGCTCAGCTGCGAGAACATAATATTCTCCCATCTGAAGCCACTGGCTGAGCAACTGTCACTGAAAAATGATGTTCCCCTGGCTCTGCTTATACTCCAGCCCCAGCCCACTGAGAGGCAATGAATCAATGCTGATTTATATGGTAGCCTTGTTGATGTCTCAGGATCTTTCCCTGCTCCAGCTGCCATGGGACATACTTGCTGAGGCCTTGCTGAAGTTGTTGCAGGCAAGACAAAAGCATAAGTCTTGAGAGTAGTGACAGAGAAGCGATGCAGGAAGGAGGAACCTAGGTGCCCTGTGAGCTATGTCCTGGCGAGCCCGGGAGGCACGCTCCCTTTGCGGGGGCTGCCGGCGAAGGGGGTCAGACAGCAAGCTTTCCTCGGAGAGCGGGGGCATTTCCAAAGCAGGGATGTCGCTGCGCTGCCTGTGCGGATCTGTGTTATTGGGTCCTCTCCCCTGCCACTAGCTCCACATAAATATTTCAGCAAAAAAAAAAAAAAAAAAATCATTAAACTCTCACATGCTCCTTATCGCTCTCGAGCTGAAGAAGGAGAGAGAACAGACCTCCTTCCACGCTGGACGGCAGGCAGGACCTTCCCCGGCCGCCCCAGACTCTCTCTTTACCCCCAACAACTCAGCAAGTTCCCCCTGCCTTTACTGTGTCTTGTCCCCAAGGGAAAGGGCCTGTCCCCCTCGGCTGAGGGCATCCACGAGACGTTCAGGCTCTGTGAGCTGCCCGCTCTCCTTCAGACTCCGAAGAGCATGTCCCAGCCTCCTCGACCTTCACTTCTCTCTGAAATCACAGCCTAAATGAGGACATTTCCCCCATGTCTCCTCTCACTTTTAACAGAAAATGCGAGTCTTGCTTCTAGTCTCAACTTGCTCTAGCTTCTGCAGCAACACATTGGGACGAAGATATCCACTCTCAGAAATCTCTAATTGCTTGGAACCTGATATCGGACCACCACCAACCCACTAGCTGTGAGACTGTGCTAGCATCCCCCAAGAGAAAACAAAAATTAAAAAATATAACAGCACTGATACCAAGTGTCAGTGAAGCTTAGACCCGAAGTTGCACTTGCTCTCCCAGCTCTAGAAACATTAGCAAGAAAAGAGGCGGGAAGGAAACTCATCCAAGCTACCTCTGCAGGACATGACACCAGCTGCAGTTGAAGGTCAGCTCCGAGGTCACACACATTTCACAGCTCTGATGCTGGAGACAAGCTGTAAAAGAGAGCAGACACGTACCAGTAATACGCTAGCATCTGGATAGGCACGAGGGAGCATGAGCTCAAAGCTGGTGGCATGGGTAGAAACAGAGCATCAACAGCAAGAGTCTAATCGAGCCTCCTTCTGCAATGGACTCGGAAGACGAGCCAGCACCTTGCTAGCAGGAGTGGACTCACAGTCCAGTCGCAAATGTCTTTCCATTTTGTTTAGCTGGGAATAAGACACCTCCGAGACCTGTGCCACTTCTTATGACGTGGAGAGTTTTTGCCAGAAGGAAGGTAAGCAGAAATACAAACAGTTTAAACCTGCGGTCGTGACTTCCGGCTCTGCTCTCCAGTCCCCGGCTTTTCCTTAGCAGACTGTCAAGTGCAGGCAGCGTGCGAGCAAGGGCGCCTAGAGAAGGGGCAGAGCCTCAGCAGTTCATCCGCTTCTGCCCTGAACATGGCTAGAAATCAAACCCCCCAAAGAGAAAGCTGAGTCTAGCCCGGGGCCCTTCTGAAGAGCTTGCTCGCAACTACCCCAGCTGCTGGCGGGGTAAAAAAAGCAACTCTTAAGGAAAAAGAAATTATTGCAGACTGCTTATTTATGATCTGCTTTGCAGTAACCCTGCCTGCTGTTAAAATTGTCATAAAGTACCCTGGGGAGACCGTTTAAATGCATAACCTTGGTATACTCGTGACAGATTTACTCTCTGCTCTGTATTTATGTACTGCATGTCGACTTGCCTCACGCGCACGTGTCCTCGGTCTTGAGCACTAAATGCATCTGTTTAGCAGGATCTTCTATAAATTATATCCGCGTGCTGACCGCGTTTAAATGCATAACCTTGGTATACTCGTGACAGATTTACTCTCTGCTCTGTATTTATGTACTGCATGTCGACTTGCCTCACGCGCACGTGTCCTCGGTCTTGAGCACTAAATGCATCTGTTTAGCAGGATCTTCTATAAATTATATCCGCGTGCTGACCGCGCGCGGGGGCTAACAAAACGTCTCGCGGGCAGGCCTGAAACGCACCAGCGTCCAGCAAAATTCGCTGCAGCTGCATTAGCTCACGGGGCCGAGGAGAAGGACCCCGCTGCCGACGGGCAGAGCTGCCGGCCAGG